GTGGTTCTTGTCTTTTGCTTTATTTATGTGATGGATTACATTGATTGTTTTTCTAATGTTGAACTATCCCTGCATACCTGGTATAAATCCCACTTGATCATGGTGAATGATTTTTTTGATATGTTGCGGAATTCTGTTGGCTAAAATTTTGTTGAGGATTTTGGCGTCAGTGTTCATGAGGGATATTGGTGTGTAATTTTCTTTTTTTGTGGTGTCTACCTGGTTTTGGTATCAGGGTTATGCTGGCTTCGTAGAATGAGTTTGGGAGTATTCCATCCTTTCTATGCTCTGAAATACCTTTAGTAGTAGTGGTGTTAACTCTTCTCTGAAAGTTTGGTAGAATTCTCAAGTAAAGTCATCCGGGCCCAGGCTTTTTTTTTTGTTGAAAGTTTTTTAATTACCTTTTCAATCTCTTCTTTTGTTGTTATGGGTTTATTTAGTTGTTCTCTCTCTGTTTGTGTTAGTTTAGGTAGGTAGTGAGTTTCTAGAAATTTGTCCATTTCTTCTACCTTTTCAAATTTGTCAGAGTCATTTTGTATTTCTTAATAAAACCATGTTCACATTAGTTATAAATGTGTTTCAGGATTCAAGAACTTCAACAGGAAGTCTGCCAGTTACAAGAAAAGTTAGCAGCAATGGAAAATGGAGTGAGAGATTATAACAAGCAGGTGGGATTTTTATTTACTTCTATAGTAGGGATTGAGATGGGTATGTGTGATTGTAAATATAGTTGGGTTACATTTGATATTACTATCCTGGTTTTCTGTACAACTTTTATCTTTTTCATAAGTTTGCTGATAGAGTTAATAGCTGAAGTGGCTTAGATGGCTTTAGATTGCTCTAGTCCATTCTTTCCATTATGCTTTGAAGTAAATAGCAGTTTTTCTTTTGTTTTGTTTTGTGTTTCCTTTAGGTGAATCATGTATTTCCCTAAGCATAATTTTACAACAATATTGCTGTTTCTTTCTTAGGAAGTATTTGTTAAAGTGTGCTATGTTTTATAGTAGTATTTTTTATAGTTTTTTTTACTCTTAATTGGTTATAGATTTTGTCATTTTGAACATAAGTCCCTTTGAAAGTTATTCCTGCCTATTGCCGTATTTTGTGTTTGCTTTCTCTACAAGCACTAGTACCTCATAAAAAGTTTTTTGAAGAAAGCAGGGGCATCAGGAGAAGCAGAGTTAGAGTTCATAATGGTAACAAGCTTTGTTCTTTCATACCTCCTGTTGGTGTCTTGGCTAAGTTCTGATTTGGGTAATTACAGACTTTCTTTCTTAATATGCTTACTGAAGTTTAAATTGGGTAACACATTTTTCATTTTCTGCACATGACTGCATTTTTTTTTTTGGAGTAAAGCGAATCTACATATACAAATATAGGTGTAATTTATGTATTGGTGTAACTGTTAAGTTTGTAAAGTACTTTGAAGATTATTTCAATAAAAAATCGACTTAAAAGAAATAGTAATACAGTAACCCAAAAAAGCTTTCTTTATGAAGAAATATTGAAAATATCATTATGCACATGAGTTTAATGTAATTGATATTTTTCCAGTTCATAATCAACACTTTTATTGCATTTTTTTCAAAGTACTTGATGAACATAGATTGACTGGTCCTTGTCATCTCTGTTAGGTGATTGAGGCATTTGGAGAAAATTACCTGACCATTCTGATTGAAACCACCAGTTTATAGTGGTTATCAGTCTTAGTTGAACCTAAAATCTCTTGCTATCAATTGTATTTTTAACTTGAGTTTATTCAGTTTGGTTTTTCCCCCTCTGTTTTTTCTCAGTACATTCCAAATTTTGCTGTTTTCTTCATGCTCTTTCCCAGCCTATCACACCCTCTTCTCAGGATATTGTCTTGACTAAACTTCCTGTCTCTACCTTTAAAATTACCAGTATTCACACTCAGGCTCTCCCTAAGACTCAGTGGGTAGGGTGTTACTCTTCCCATTTAAAGCTAAGTCTTTCTACCTGTGCTTGGCACACCCGATTTCGTCTCTCCTCCTTAATCAATTATTCTTTTATCTTTCTTTACCAAACACATATAGCCACTTTACAATTATTCTTTTAATCTTCATAACAGTCCTATAAGGAGATACTACTAGTGTCATCCTTAACATCCATCAAAAAAATCTTTTAACTACCTCTTCCCTCTTGTTAATGCCTTCCTCCCCTCATGCAGACTTCTCTAAAGAGAAGTGTCTCCACTTCTATCTCCACTTCTTCACCTCCTGTTCATTCTTTAACCTATTACAGTCTGGCTTCTTCCTCCCACTACATCAGTTGTTCTACTTAATGTCACCAGTGACATTAATTGCTAGATCCGAAGAATACTTTTAGTCTTTATTCTCTTTAACCCACTCTGTGGTATTTGACATTATTGATCATTTCTCTTTGAATGTCTTCTATGACTTCATTTTCTTTGATTTTCCGTTTTTACCTCTTACCATTTCTTCTCTGCTTTTCTTTCCCTGCCTGCTCCTTGAAATATTACTGTTTCCCAGGATTCTGCCTTTGACTCTCTTCTCCCTATCTTTTCTCAGGTGGCTTCATCCACTCTCTTGGTTCAAAATAATGCCTGTATGCTAATGACTCCCAAATCTCTTTCTGGCCCAGACCTCTCTGCTGAGCTTCAGACCCATGTATCCAACTTCACACAGGCATTTTCACTTTGATGAAGGCTCTTTAGACTCGTATGCCTAGTACTGAACTTATCTTCTTCCTCAAATCTGTTTTTCATCCTTATTCTGTACCTCGGTTGGTAGCATCACCATCTGCCCAAGCCTACATTTTGGAGTGTTTCTTGACCTCGTTCTCTTCCCTTCACAAACCACTCACCACATTCTGTCAATTCTCCTGCCTAAATACTTCTTAAATTTATTTCTTTTGTTATACCCTATACCACTGTTTTATTTTAGGCTTTGATCATCTCTCATACAGATTCCTATAATAGGTCTCCGTGTTGCACAGACAGATTGCTTAAAAATTTCAAGCAGCAATAAGACTGCTAGGATAAGGATTCTACCCAGTGGCTATGTTCATCCAGTATAATTGAGCCGTACACACAAGACACAAAATGTTGACAAATGAAAGACCTCATTATTTATAGAAAGCAAACAGTAATCAGTAGGAAGAGGTTTATGGTGAACTAGGCCCCTATTCCCCCTGCAAAGTATGACCCACTTTTTAGGAGAGGGACCTGCTTGTATCTCAAGGGGGGCCCATTTACCCTCCCAAAAAACTGATGTCTGTTTCTATGTCACTGGACGAGCAAACTGAGGCTTAGGTGTCAGCAGGTGCGCGGCAGGTTAGGTGCTGGCTTAGGGCTACCACAGCTTCCAGGGCTACCACAGCTTCCAGGCCTCTGGCTGCCATGCTACCTGAGCCCCACACAGCTCCCACCATGCTGCCTAGGGCCCACACGTGTTGGCTACTGGGCCTCGCACCACTGGCTCTGCCCTGCTGTGGGCAGACCCCTACACAGGTCTTCCAAGCCTCTGCTAGCCTCACACCACCGCTCTGCTCTGCCACTGGATCTTGCACCACCCACTCTGCCTCTGGGCCTGCTGTGGTCTGCAAGCTGGTCCTGGGTGTTACTGGCTCAGCGTTACAGCCCTTTACCCGTGTGCAGCTATTTACCAGGCATGTGAGGTTCTTAGCACAGGGTCCTGTGTCCAAAGGGTGTGCCCCCCTGCCAGGCCTTTTGATCAGCAGGCCTCCAAAACCTTTGCGGGATTGACCATTTATATAGGAAAACTCCTTGTCACTTTCCAGTTGGGGCTTTCCTAGCAGAATTGCAGCCTGATCAATCATCTTATGTGGATTGTAAGTTCAGGGCCAAAAAGGCCACATAAGGGAACCCATTGTACCCCAGTCTCCCTGCCTCTGGTTTTATTCCCATCAGATTCATCCTTGGTGCAGAGTAGTCTTTCAAACACGGATTGTGTCATTTTTCTATTAAAAACAAACAAGCCTCTTTGTTTCACAAAGGCCTAAGCTCCTTAGCAAGGTGTTCAGTGCTTAGAATATTAGTTCCTGCCTAATTCTTCAGACTCATTTCCAACCACTAGTTCCCTTGCACTTAACAATCCAACCACACTGTGCCATTTCTACTCCCTCAAACATTTCTGGTTGTTTTATGCTTCTGTGTCACTGTCTGGAATATCCCTCCTTTCTTCCCTTTATGGCTTTTTGGGGCATATTTCTCTGGTAAGACCTTCACTGATTTCTGCAAACCCTAATATACTATGCAGAGTAAATCACTTGATTCCCTTAACTACTTAGGTGCCATATACCTATTTCCTTTATCCTGTCATTGAGTACCATACTGTATAGTAATTATTGATTTGCTTGCTAGTTTTCCCTGCAAAGCTTTGTGTTCTTAGAGGTCAGGTACCATATTTTATTCATCTTTGTATATCTAGTACTGTGCTCAGTTGAATGTTGAATTGTTTGCTGGATTGAATGCTTGGTTTTTGTTTTCAGTTTTTTTGGAAAAGAAAACCAAAGCTTGAAAATATGTGGGTTTTTGCAAATTCTTGCATGTGAATTAGTGTGAGTTCATGGTTTATAGTGATCTTTTTGATTATGTATCTGTTGCTTTCTATAACTAGTTCAATTCATCTCTGTTTCTTTTTTAATATTGAATTTCAGTAGTAATTCACTTTTCTTAGTGTGATACATTCATTCCTTTATTCCACATTTATTCCATCAGGCACTGAGCTAGTTCAGACTCATTTCCAGTAGTTAAGCATGTATGTATGTATAACTATTGCCTAATCCTAGAGGAGGAAAAACACCCACAAATTAAAGTGGGAAGAATCTAGTCAATAAAAATACTTATGAAAGCTATGTTGGCAATACTTCTGTTGACATTTTCTGTGTTGTTTATTTTTGCTGTCTATATATGCGTTTTATAATCCCATGTATATATGGGTACGTATATGAATTGTCAGTCTCCTGTATACACTGTAGGACATAAGAAAAATGAAAGTATGTCCAAATAAATGTTAGTCCAGTGTTAGTCATTTGGGTTCAGAATCAGATTTTTTTAAATGATAGCTCCATGTTGTGTGTTCAGATTGAGCTAAGAGAACAAGAAATAGAACGGCTGTCAATGGCATTGGATGGTGGTCGCTGTTCTGACATCCTCACTCTGGAGAGTAGAAATAAAACCAACGAGAAGCTTATTGCTCATTTAAATGTTCAGGTAATGTAAAATCATAGTGTCATAATGGTCTGTGGGTTTTAAAAAGTGACAGGGTTGTTTACTGAGGTAATACTTATACTGAGAAAAATTTGATATAGTCAAAGTTTTGAGGTATTAGGGAATGGTTACATATTTTAGAGTACAGCTATTGAAAAATCATGTTTTCAAAGAATATTTAATGAGCCAGGAACATACACACATCATAATGTTAAATATTTAAAAGAGGAGAATAAAATTTAAGGCACAATGTGATCTTAAATTTGCTTTTAAAAACATATTATACATACACTCAGAGAGAGAAAGCACTGGAAGAGAATACACCAAAATATACCAACAATGTTTATCTTTGAGTGATGGGATATTCTTTATGGTTTTCTTTACTTTCAAAATTTTATGCGTAAGTATTTCTTTTATAATGAGAAAAAGATTTTTACAAAATGTAAAAAATTAAATATATGGTGTACTTCTACCTATGTAGTAGATTCCCTTGCCATTCATTTGACTTAAGAGTAAGAGAGCAAGGGTGCACATTAAAGCATAATGTGTGAACCTGAGAACTTTTGATATGTCAGAGCTGCCTAGGCTGCACCCAGAACAGAGCGTGTCAAAAATACTAGCTAGTAGCATTAGAGCGGTACTGTTCAATAGAAGCATGGTATGAGCCACATATATAATTGTAAAGTTTCTAGTAGCCTGATTTTAAAAAGAAAAAGTAACAGGGGAAATTAATCTTAATAATGTATTTTATTTACTTCCAAATATCAAGAATATTATCATTTCAACATGTAATAATATTATAAATTATTAATGATATTTTATGTTCTTTTTTTATTTTGTATTAAGTCTTTGAGATCCTGTGTGTATATTATCTTTTTTAATATTGAGTTTCAGTAGTAATTCACTTTTCTTAGTGTGATACATTCATCCCTTTATTCCACATAATTTGGACTAGCCACATTTTAAGTGTTCAGTAGCTGCTAGTGGCTATTATATAGACAGCACAGTCTAGAGTAATATCATCAGTGATATTCTTGTCATGTTTTCAGAACTCTGTGTTGGCAAAAAGTTCATCCAAATTTCTTAAATATCCTTTCCTTTTATGCTTGAAAATCAAAGCCAATGGATGTGCATTTTTATCCAAACTACACATTGTCAGTTTAGCAAATCAGAACAGTGTAAATTTGCAAGTAAAATAGCTGTGGTTTGAAGTTTTGATATCTTTTAAAATATATTTTTGGAATACTATTTTAAAAGTTCATGATTTAGGGTAATTTTCCAATTCGTATGCCTTAATGAATTACAACTTCAATTTAGGTTGACTTTCTTCAGCAAGCTAATAAAGAACTGGAAAAGCATATACAAGAACTTATGGAAACCAAGGAAACAGTCACTACTGAAGTTGTTCATTTAAGTAACAAAAATGAAAAACTCTGCCAAGAATTAACTGAAATAGACCAGTTAGCACAGCAGTTGGAAAGACATAAAGAAGAAGTACTTGAGACTGCCGATAAAGAAATTGGAGAAGCAAAGGTAATGATGTGTCTAGGTTGGGGGGATGTTCATTAATTCTCCTAGAACACAGTGAGCTTGAGCCCTTTGGATAGCTGTACTCGGGTCTGTTTTTTTTTTTTTTTGCGGGGGGATGGTAATTCAAGGTTTTCTAAAATGTTGTTTACACCTTTAAATAGTTGATTTATTCTAATTGTTTGGGTGTCTTTCTCAAGCACATGTATTCTTGGATCGATCTCCAGACTTTATCTTCTTTTCCTTTAAGATGTTTGTTCATCTCTGTCCTTTTATCCCTACATGATGGGAGAGCTTCTGAGTTTGTCCTCTACGTTGCTTTTTGCTTCCCTTCAAAAAAGGTATTTTTCGAAACTGTGTACATCCATTTTTAATTTGGTAGCTAACATTTTTCATCTTTAAGTTTAAATTGATGCAAAGGATATAATATCCAGTCCGTTGTGAATATTGACATCTTAAAATAAAACTGACATATTATTCTTTTAAATATAGCTAATGGAATCTAAGTGCCATAGGTTTTACTGGCAATTTGATACCCTTCATTGTCTTGATGATGCTCAGTGGTAAAAGCGATCAACTGCTAACCACAAAGTTGGCAGTTTGAAACCACCAGCAGCTCCACAGGAGAAAGATGTGGCAGTTTGCTTCAGTAGATATTTACAGTCTTGGAAACCCTATAGGGTTGTTATGAGTTGCAATCCACTCGACGGCAGTAGGTGGTGGTGGATTATCCTTTCAGAACAGTACAGACGTGACTGTGTTCTTTTTTAACAGTCAGATATTTTACATTATCTACCACCATTCCTTGAAATCCTATTTCCATTTTACTCCCCCACAAAATTTTATTCTATTGTAATATATTTTTATGCTTGGATATCTTTTTTTGATCATCTGTCTGCACTAAAAATAGGTGTAAATTGAATTTTTTTTTATTTTCAAAAATTTCCTGTGATTATAAATTTCAAAGTGTTAAGATTTTCCTCTGAATAGTGTTATCATTACAATTATTAGTAACTAGTGAATAAGTATGACAAATATACCACAAATGTTGATAAATAATTTTTAAAAAGTAAAATTATATTGGAAATGTATCTCTTAATTAGATATAATAGGAAGATATAGTATCTTAATTAGAGGCTTCGTCCAGCCCCAACATTTCAGATTATCTTTTTTTACTGGTGCTCCAAAAGTTTTTTTATATCTCAAGACAGTGTGCAATTATGACATGAGTGAGGTGTATGCCTTTCTTTTGAGAAGTGGGAGAAAGGCAGTTGTAAAAGAGAAGGTAGGAAAGGAGAACTCATGTGATGCCCAGACCATAAGCATGTTGTCAGTAGATCATTTTTAAAAAAGAATATATAGCCAAGAGGAACCCTGGTGGTGTAGTGATTAAGAGCTCAGCTGCTAGCCAAAAGGTCGGCAGTTTGAATCCACCAGCTGCTCCTTGGAAACCCTGTGGGGCAGTTCTACTCTGTCCTATAGTGTTGCTGTGAGTCGGATTCGACTTCATAGCAACGGGTTTGGTTTCATATAGCCAAGAAGATTCCTGGGTAGTGCAAATAATTCGTGCTCGACTACTAACCAGAAAGTTGGCAGTTTGAACCCACCCAGCTGCACCACGGAAGAAAGGCCTGGCAATCTGCTACCATAAAGATTACAGCCAAGAAAACCCTTGGAGCTCATTTCTACTCTGTGACACATGGGGTCACCATGAGTAGGAATCGACTTGATGGCAACAGATTTTATATAGCCAAGTTAAGGATCTAAGTATTGATTGCTTAAAACTATGTGCCTACCATAGTTTTACATGTCACTTGGAACATTTTCATGTTATCCCAACGGTAAGTGTGACCTAGTTTGAAGACATCTGCTCTGCGTCACTAAATTGATTTTTTTCAGTGTTACCTTCACTAATTAGTGTGGTTTTAATTCTGTTTTTGTGGTTTTAGTTTTATTGCAACACTTCTATGTCTCATCTCTATCGTTTTGCATCTCAGCCTATTCTATACTGTACATATAATATACTGAACACAGCTTCTCATGTCCCATTGACAATGCTCGGGAATGACAACTTTGTTCAACAAAAGATTCTTATTAGAATGGATACAAGAAAACAAGACAATATTTTAATCTTGGCATTCTGCTCTCTTACTTGCAGTTCAGGGGATCCAGGTTGGTGATGGCAGACAGGGAGAAAGCAAGTAGGATGGGAAAATCAGGACATGATAATACCATAAGATGTATCCTAAAAATCAAGTTCTACAAGTATCTAGGCAAAAAATGATTTCCAGGTTGCTCACTTGTTTCAGATATTACAAATAGATCCCTAGGAACATTCAGGATACCAGGAGATTAAAGATAAGCCTCAACTTTACCTCGTCCTTCTTGAAATTGAGTATTAGGGTTGATCTGTCTCTCTGGTGAGAGGGAACATGAACTCCTCGAAAAAGTATTTAGTCTCATATGCATTATGACTTAGTGATAAGTATTCTTAGACTTTAGGTGTTTACCTAATAGAATTTTTTGTTCAACAGCTTTATTGAGATAAAATTCGCATACCATACAATTCACCCATTTAAAGTGTATAATTCAATGCTTTTTAGCATATTCACAGAATTGTGCAGCCATTATCACATCCCAGTCATCCATTGATCCTAGTCAATTTTAGAATATTTTCATCACCTCAGAAGGAAACCCTGTACCATTTATCTGTCATCCCTCTACTTCCGCAACCCCTCCCTTCCCTAAGCAACCACAAATCTACTTTCTGTCTCTGTAGATTTCCCTCTTCTGGACTTTCATATGAATGGAATCATATAGTATGTGGGTTTTTTTTGTGACTGAATGCTTTCACTTAGCATAATGTTTTCAAGTCCATTCATGTTGTAGCATACATCAGTACTTCCTTCCTTTTAATGGCCAAATAATATTCATTTGTATATATTTACCATATTTTGTTTATTCATCCATTGGAAACCCTGGTGTCGTAGTGGTTAAGAGCTACAGCTGCTGACCAAAAGGTCTGCAGTTTAAATCCACCAGGCGCTCCTTGGAAACTCTAGGGACAGTTCTACTGTGTCCTATTGGGTCGCTATGAGTCGGAATTGACTTGACGGCAATGGGTTTGGTTTTTTGATTTTTTATTCATCCATTGATGGACATTTGGGTTGTTTCTACCTTTTAGCTACTGGGAATAATGCTGCTATAAACATTCATGTACTTGCTTTTCATGGACATGTTTTCATTTCTTTTGAGATATGCCTTGGAGTGGAATTCCTGTGTCATATGGTAACTCTATGTTTAATTGTTTGAGGAACAGCCATACTGTTTTCCAAAGCAGTTCACAGTTTTACATTCCCACCAGCTGTGTATTAATAGGCTTTTTATTCCTAGAAAGAGATTAAAAGAAAACTCTGTGAAATGCGAGATCTTGAAGAAACAATGTCAAAGCTTCAACTGGTAAGTAGATGTCATACTGAAATGTCAGAATTTACAGTAAGAGATTTTTTATGCTTTATTTTATATATAGGCGCACGTATATATATTTTTAAATGAGATATAATTTACATCATGATATTCATTATTTTAAAGGGTACAATTCAGTGGTTGTTAGTATATTCACAAAGTTTTGCAACCATTACCACTATCTAATTCTAGAACATTTTCACTCACCCTAAAAAGAAACTCTGTAGCCATTAGCAGTCACTTCCCATTCTTTTCTCCACCCTGCTAACCGCACCCCCCCCCCCAGCACAAATATGCTTTCTATAGATTTGCCTGTTCTGGATATTTCATATAAATGGAATCATGCAGTTACATGGCCTTTTGTGTGTGACTTCTTTCACTTAGCGTAACGTTTTGAGCCTCATCCACATTGCAGCATGAATCGGTATTTCATTCTTTTGTATGGCTGAGTAGTATTCCATTCTATAGATATACTGTTTTATATTTTTACAGTGCTTTAATTTCATATATAGTAGGTGGCAAGTGAAATTCAAATTTGGGAAACCTGTTAGGGATTTTATTCATCACTTTTATGCCTTGTACATTTACCAACATTAAAACTAGAAATTGATAATTACTCGATAAAGTTGTTGACTGTTATTGAAAGCACTCCACCCTCTTTTAGTACTTTGTTTGGCAGTGCAAACCATTTCCCTGATCATGTAGTTTGTTTTGATAATCTTGAAATGAGAAAAATTGTAATCATCCCAATAAGCCAGCATATAGAATATGGTCATAACAGTGTGGGACTGGCAGAAAGAATGTTTTGCTTATAGGTAGAGTTCCTTGGTAGTCACCCAAAAAGTTACTCTTTTTTTTCAGTCTATTAAATTGCAAAAGTTTCCTCTTAGAAACAAAGACTAATACTAATTTCCAATTTTCTCATGACATATGCTTTTTCTACTACCTAGCTGCAATGTTCTGATGATGTAAGACGAATTAAAAAGTGATACACTGGCACATAGTAAGTGCTCAAATACTTGTTGATTTTTGTATGCATAGTGATTTCCTTTTTTCTTCAACGTTTAGCAAGTCCACTCCAGTGATTCAGTGGAATGATTGATTGCTAAACCTGCTACATGTTGTCCACTTTTGAGTCTCACAGATATTGTAAAATTCTCCCATGGGGTCAGTAAATGTAAATTAGGTGTTTTGATGATGTTTTCACTAGAATGTAAGCTCCATGAGGGCATGGATTTTTGCTGTTTGTTGACTGCTACATCCCCAGTGCCTAGAACAGTATCTGGCACATAGTAGATGCTCAGATATTTGTTGTTGATTTTCCTATGCACGCTGTAAAAAGTTGAATGCTATTCATAACGATTGCCTCAGAGCCCTGGGGCCAAGCGTCAGTAGTGCTGGCTTACAGTAAGGTGCTGCTGCAGTGACTTCCTGGCCTTTCTTATTTTTCCATTAATGCTATAGTTTATGTATTTTAAAGATAATAATAATGATCATATTAATAGCTAACTTTATTATGCTCTGTGTTCTGGGTACTGTGCAAACCGCTTCACATCCATCGATCCTTCCTCCCTAGTGGGCCCTAAGTGTCCAGGCACTGCATTTATTATCCCCACTGTGCGCATGAGGCTGAGAGAATAACCAGCAGAGTTAAAAGAGACATACTGGTATCCTTAGAACATTATATTTTACTACTACCATCTTTTAAACTTAAAAAAGCTTTTACAATTTTTATCACACAAGTACATATTCATCTAGAAAAAAATAAACAATATGCTAAACAAATTAGAAGAAAATAAAATCTAATGATTCTACCACTCTGAAAGGAGCACTGTTGGTATTTGGGCTTTGTGGTGCTTTTAGCTATGGTTGATAATTAACTTTAGTTGAAACCATAAATGGCTGATTAAAGCTGTGTGTGTGTGTGTGTGTGTGTGTGTGTATAAGATGGAGTATATGTAGTATATGTACTAGAGAGTGTATATATAAAAAATATAAAGAGTATATATAGTTATAGGTAAATTACTATTATATAAATGGGCTTATGAAAATACCTTTCATTTTTAAGTGCTGTAATATTTTATCAAGTTAGAAAATTTAATTATAATATTAAAATTTGCAGGAATTAGACTTATGCCATAAAGAAAAGGAGAGACTGAGTGAAGAACTCCTTATAAAATCAGATCTTGAAACTGTTGTTTATCAGCTTGAACAAGAAAAGCAAAGACTTTCCAAAAAAGTTGAAAGTTTTGCAGATAAAGGTAAGATATAAAATATTGATAACTGAAAAAGTGATTGTGACTTTCTCCTGATTTATTTTATTCTTAATAGGTGATCTTTCATTCATTCAATAAATATTTTTTGAATGCTTGCTAGATACCAGAAACCATACTAGGTACTGTAGATACAGTAGAAATCTCCCTCAAGGCGCTTACAGTATTCTTTTATATTTTGACTAGTTGCTTCAGGGAATCCTTCTTGAGTAAGTTTCCAATATAAGTATGTTCTTCTTTGAGGCAGACTAATAATAGAATTAGGACTAAGAGGAAGAGCACTCTGAAATAGTGGACCATCTGAAATACAGAATCTTTTCAAAGAAATGCATTTGTATCACGTTAAAGTACACACGCAATTGAAATAGGCTAACTTTCTGCCAGGTACTAGTCCTAAATGACTAGGGTTAAGGAACATGTAAGAATTCATTCCTTCATTTGACAAATGTTTTATGAATTGCCTGTTGTGTGGCAGGCTCTGTTCTAGGTATGGGGTATATAATAGTTAAGAAGATACACAAGGTACCTTCTCTTCTGGAGCCTATGTTCTAGTTAGGGAGACAGAGTAGTAGAACATAAGTGAACAAGTTAATTTTAGATGATAAGAGGTATTAATATGAAGTAAGGGATGTGCTAGAGATTGGCTGATAGAAGGGCTGAAGAAGACACCAGCCATATGAAGATCTAGGGGCAGAATTTTCTAGGTAAGAGAGAATGGCAAGTGCAGAAGCTTGGTGCCTTCAAATTTGATGTGTCTTAGGAAGTGGAAGGAGGCCAGTGTGCTGTTGAGAGATAATCCTAGGCCCTTCACCAGCCATGTGGATACTCCGTTTAACCCCTTTGCCACTCGCTAGCTGTATGATCCTGAGCAAGTTATTTAACTTCTCTGTGCTCCGGTTTCCCTATCTAAGATGGGGATAATGATGACACCTGCCCCAAAAAGATTGTTGTGAAGATTAAGTGAGTTGATATATTTAAGTACATAGGACCATGTATAAAAGTTTGCTGTTTACTTCCTCTCATAGCTATCTATAGCCTATCATTTCAGCATAATCTTTCAGATATCTCAAACCCCCTTGGTTCTCAGTGTTTTGGGTGCATCCGCCTGCCAAAACTCTAGCCAGGGAACAACCAAACCATTTACCTTCTACGTGCTTATATGTGGGCAGCTAAACACTGCTTGAGTATGCAGCAGAGACATTGATCCACTGTAAATGTCCCCAGCCTCAGCAGGACCCTCGATGTTGTGTGGAAATCTCAGTGTTTCTCTTAGTGCTCTATCCCTCACTCTCTGCAGCGAACATTTCAGATGTTTTCGATTGTTACTAAACCTGTGACTCCCACTCTAACCCTCATTCGGGGTGGGTGGTCTTACTTCTGGTTTCCCTGAGAGAATGGAAGCCATCGGGCAGACATCCCTTCAGTTTCTAGTTTCCTGCCCCCAGGATGTAAAGCTTCCCGTCTTCCTTCACTCCTGTTACAGTGGAGGAGTGTCTCTCTTTTAAAAGGCTGTACCGTATCTGTTCTCTGGGTCCTATCCTCTCTCTCTTTAAGAACCTTACATATTATCTCCTTTCCATAATTTTAGTCTTTGTACTGATTTTTTCCCCATTAGCATTCAAACATGCTGACTCTTCTCCCATTTAAAAAAAAAGAACTTTGACCCATTCCCCTCCAGCTACCCTTTCCTCCTCTTTGTAGCTTTAGCATCTTGAATAATCATCATACTTGCTATTTCAGCTTGATCACCCACTACACTTTAGCTCCTCAGTCCACTCCAGTTTGACCTCTCTTCCCACCTTACCACCAGAACTGCTGTTTTTAAGGTCATCAGTCACCTCCATTATGCTACATCAGTGGATGCTTTTCATTCATTAACCTATTTGACCTCTTAGTGTCCAACACAGTTGTCCATTCCTTGGCTTCTTTGATAGTACACTTCCCTAGTTTCCTCTTACCTCTCTGGTTACTTTTTCTCAGGATGAATTTGTCAACTCATCCTCCAGTTTGCATTGCACATTGTTCTTTGTAGCTTTTATCCAACTACAGTTAAAATAATTATTTGTTTGACTATGGCTATATTTTATGTGGAGCCATGGTGGCGCGGTGATTATGAGCTTGGCTGCTAACCAAAAGGTATGCAGTTTGAATCCACCAGCTGCTCCTTGGAAACCCAGTGGAGCAGTTCTCCTGTCCCATAGGGCCACTATGAGTCAGAATCGACTCAACAGCAATGGGTTTGTTTATGTTTTATGCACTTGTATTTTTAGCCAGTGCTTAAGCATATAGTAGATGCTCGATAAGTATCTGCTGAATGAATGTGAAGAGATGGGAATGAATCCGAATGTGTCTTGAAAATGGTGCTTATGCCTCAGAGTTATAATAAGCATCAGTTAAATTAGGTTGAACTGTATGAAATTGCCAATATTTTTGACCCACAAAAGACAGTTTCTATGCTAAAAGCTAATTGTGTTTATTTGGAGAAACATTCAAGTTTGAGCTGTTTATGTGTATGTTGTATTAAATTCCAGCTTACTGTTCAAATTGTGCATGTTATAATTAACTATTTGTAGACAGATTTTCTTTTAGTGCATTTTCAAGGCCCAGAAAGGACCACGTATAACATATTGTTCATTCTGTAGTATTAAGTAGTATCCATTCTTGTGATAAAACAAAAGCAGGGAGACTGACTCATTGGATTTTATTTAAACTTTATAGTTTAATTTTTGATTTTGTTATTTTTCCTTCCCTCTCAATATTAGCCTCTTTGATATATCTAGCCCTTATAGGTGCTTTATGAAACAGCTCATGATTTTTAGTAGTTTGCAGTGTTAAGTTTTAAAGTTATTGACATAATTTCTTTGGCTGATTATATATTATATATGCAACATTCTTTTAAGATTTAACCATTTTAATTTGCAGAAAGAGAACTTACTTTGGAAGTTGAGAGAATGAGGCTAGAACATGGGATAAAACGCCGAGACAGGTCACCTTCTCGTTTAGATACATTTCTGAAAGGCATAGAAGAGGAACGAGATTATTATAAGAAAGAGCTAGAAAGACTCCAACATATGATAAAGCGAAGATCTTGCTCTACAAATTATTTTGCACGTGAAAAAGTTCAAGTTTTAAAAACACCAGAGAAGGTATTATTCCTTTATAAGAGTATCATGTGAACAAACTTTTCTGGCTTATTATTGCATTAAATGTAACTTTAGGCATACTTGCTTTTAAGAACTCTTTCTTAGTTTTGATTTTTGTTTTCTTCGATGACCTGTACTGTAGGAACATTGTATTAATTAGTTAAAATACTTAAGCACAAAGGACAACATTCTGGTTCCTGGAAACTAAGGAAAGATTGAATAGCTGAGACGTGGAAGGAGTGCAGAGGACAGACATCTGGACTTCTGGAAGCTGAAACTGCTGGACATTTCCTCTCTCTCTAGGCTGTATTTCTTTCTGTATCAGCTGCATTTTCTCTCTCAAAGCAGAATGGCCTTGTCCACATGACAGGCAACATGGCTGCATGCAATTCCCAGCCTTGGACCAGTCAGGAAGGCTGATTACATTGTACTAACCAGGGATCTTCCATATTAATCATGCGATGGGAGAAGGGTAGAAATTGGAAGTGGGTGCTGGGTAGGTCATTTCCATTTTTCCATTACAACCACGTTTCCAAGTTGCTGGTCTAAAAATGTTCAGTCAGCTAATTGATATTATTTTATGTATATTATTTAAAATTAACCATGTTTCTTGAGAGATTAAAATCATATGTCTCTATTTTAGGTTATAATTATTTTCAGTTTTATAATTATCATTTAAGTTCTTCAGATTTTTCTTTTTTTTAAACTTTGGAGCTACAGCAGTCATAGAGGCTTATATGACCATAGCAGTATCTACATACTAGGTAAAATTGGAGGGAGTTGGGGGAAAAGTCATTAAAGCTCAAAACATTGGATTTCAGACTTGGCTGAATATAACATTTCCATTATCTTTTCCATGAAGATCCTGTGTCCATTGTCAAACAGGTTTGAATCTTTTTCTTATTAGACTTTTTAACCTTATTGGCTGATGGCTGAATTTTATTTATAATTGTCACTATAAACACCGCTGTGTTATCTATTATAAACAGAATTAGTAGGTGGAAAAATACAGTGTAAGTTAATCTATGTGTTACTGAGTTCTTTTAGAATACATGATACTCAGAACAACAACAAAAATAAAATATGTTATTTTAAAAAATACATATATACTTAGGAAAAGTAAATCACTGAACTGATCATTTTTATTGTGTAGAAGAATCTTCCATAAAATAGTCGATCAGTTTAATCGACTGCCTGTTAGATAACACTGCATAGATAAATTTCTCAAAGGGTTTAATCTAAATATTTGATTCAGTAGTTTCACTATTGAAAGACAAGTAAAGAATATTGGTAAGGTACTGGTAGAATTAGTAAAGTATTTATTTTTCTGAAATTTTATAATGTTACCCAGCACAGAGAAGGAATCCGTTTTCTAAAGCTCAGAAAATCAGTGTGTTCAGAGCATTTTAGAGTACCAGTCACAAATTGTTGGTATGGTAGTGGATAGCAGGTAAGTAGATGAGTAAAAGGAGTGGGATGTAAGACAGTTGTGCTGTGAACTAGAGGGTGCATGCCCTGTTTAAAATTTGTTATTTTAAGCATGTTTAAAAACACTTTGTTGACAAAGACCTCTCTAAAGCTGGAGTTGATATAAGCTGTGAGGTTTCAACACCCGCTTTATGGTAAACTAAGGCACAGTTTATTGGTATTGTAATAACTCAGAAAAATATTGACATTTTTAATATCAGTGATTGTCATCAACCATACACCTGTTGATTCTCTATTGTCTATAGGGAGGCACTGTCTCGTTTTACCTTATCCTCACCATGGTTCCCACTGTGTGTTTTGAGTATAGTGTAATGGAGATTGCTTTGGAGTTGGAGACCTGATCTAAATTGCAACTCCACAAACTGGCCTTATAACCTAACTTCTTAAGAGCGCTGGTTTCCTCATCTGCAAAGTGAAGAAAAGTAACTACAACCTCTTGTGAAAATTAAATGAGATAATTTGCATAAGGGCTGTTGCAGATTGAACTATGTCTCCTGAAAATATGTGGTGGAATTCTAACCCCTGAGGTAGTGGATGTAATCCCATTTGGGAATAAGGGTTTCTTTATTATGTTAATGATGTCAGATAGGGTGTGTCTTAAACCTAATGACTTTTGAGATATAAAAAGAACAGATTAGACACAGAAGCAAGCATAAATGGGAGGAGCGAGGGGAGATGCTATGTGGGGATCTCCAAGGAATTCGAAGAAGACTGCCAGGGCTAGAGAAGCAGAAACAAGGATTTTCCCCGGAGCAAACAGAGAAAGAGCCTTTCCCTAGAGTCAGTGCCTTGAATTTAGACTTTAGCCTCCTGAACTGTGGGAAAATAAATTTCTGTTCTTTAACACCACCCACTTATATTTCTGTTACAACAGTACTAGCAAACTAAGACAAGGGCCCAGCGCAATAGCTAGTGTCCAGTAAATGTTTCATTTCCTTATTATTTGCAATATCCAAGTACATCAGATGTAGGTGGTAACATTAGGTTCTGTTCAACGTATGTATGCTGAGTGACTGCTATGAACGAAGCACTGGAAATACTTCCTGTCCTCCTAGCCTTCAGCCTTGTGCATGTGTGTGTGTGTGTGTGTGTGTGTGCGCGCACGCGCACTGGAGACAGTGTGGTGGGGAAAGGGAGTTATAAACAATTATTATACAGTAACATTAAAAAAATATATCTACATGCAAGATTATTTAGAGAAGAGCTAAGGGTTCCTGCTTAAGAAGGTCGGTCAGTAAATAAATGTTCAGGGAATTCATATGTTATACCAGGTACCATGCTAGGCAGTGAAGATGTAGTGAACAAGACCAAATACGTACTCTGTCCCTTGAAGTGCTTTCATTTTATCAGTGAAGACATACATTAAACATATAATCATGTAAATAACTTTATAATTTCACTTATGATAAGTGTTAATGAAAGACGAATACAGGAAAGATTCAGGATGCTATGAGAGTCTATAGAGGGAAATCTAAATTAGATTGAGTATTCTGGAAGGATTCCTTGAAGACAGTGACATTTAAGCTGAGACCTAGACAGTAATGGAAATAACACTGTCAACTCCTTATTCATTGAGCTCTCCTTTTCTAGAATCTACCAATCACATCTTTCTATAAATGTTTTTTCTTTAGATATGCTAATACTATTGGTTAGGTTACAGATTTTCTTTTATACTTATTTAAACCTTGATTAAGTCCTCAAACCCTGATCTACTTTTGTCCTATAGGACATCTTATCTTGTAAGGCATCCTTTCTAGATAGCTAATCTCATCCATTATGCCTTAATTTTGCTCATTTAACCAAGAAAATAACATATTTCCAAGTGGTGGGTGAGGGCTACTTCACAGATATCTACTATTTACTGAGTTTGCATGGATATGGTAGGTACACAATAGATACCGAATAGCATAGGTCAAGATTCTTTCCACTGTATCAGATTATCCCTACTTGGGACTTCTGCATTTGGTATTTCAGCACTATGATACCAGTAGATCCCAAGTTTACATTTACCATCTTTATTTTCCACAATAACTGTGAAGATACAGGTGCTCTCAAATTATACTGGAATAGTAGGTGTATATTGTTGTTTCAGAAATGTTGGAATTATTTCCTTATTCAGTGAACATCTTTGATGTTATAGAAATATTTACATTTATCTGATTGTAAAATAAACCTCAAATAGTTCTGAAGCTGGGACAATTAGGGCTTGATGTTCCTGGAAAATTTATCTTGGTTTCAGTCACAGAAATACTGTGCTAGGCTGTTATAGTTACTTGCACTAGGTGAGCAGGCACACACGTACCCTCTTGGTCCCTCCCTTGGAGAGGAAAAATAAGCATGGTTCTAAAAAATTAGCATGCATCAGAATCACTTGGAGTTGGTCTGGGATGGGCATCAAATTTTCGTGTCCAACAAGTTCCTAGATGCTGATATGGCTGGTCTGGGAACCGCATTTGAAGTACCACTAGTATAAGCAAACCCAGGAGAACTAATCGTGGAGGAATCTGGTGGGATCTGGTCAAATAGTATCATGGGCAGCTGAGTCCCTTCCTGAGAACTTAAAAGGTCAGGGAACTTGGAAGCCAGGAAACTTGCCCCAGTACTGCCAGTGCTTTTGTCTCCTGCTTTCATTATTGATTAAAAAAAAAAAAGGTGATCATTAACTATCTCAAGGATTCCCTGGGTGATGTATACAGTTAATGCACTTGGCCACTAACCAAAAGGTTGGAGGTTCGAGTCCACCCAGAGTCGCCTCTGAAGAAAGCCTGATGATCTACTTCTGAAAAATCAGCTACCGAAACCCTATGGAGCACAGTTCTGCTCTGACAAACGTGGAATAGCCATAAGTTGGGATGGACTCGACGACCTGGTTTACAGGTTATAACAAACATCCTGGGACAAATCTGTCTTGGAAGAAGTACAGTCAGAATGCTCTTTAGAAGCAAGGATGACGAGACTTTGTCTCACGTACTTTGGACGTGTTATCAGAAGGGATCAGTCCCTGGAGAAGGACATCATGCTTGGTAAAGTAGAGGGTCAGCGAAAGAGAAGAAGACCTTCAGTGAGATGAAGTGACACAGTGGCTCCAGCAATGGGCTCAAACATAGCAATGTTTGTGAGAATGGCACAGGATCAGGCAGTGTTTCATTGTGTTGTACATAGGGTTGCTATGAGTCGAAACTGACTCGATGGCACCCAACAACTGTGACAGCCATGCAGTGGTAATTACAACAATAACTTCTTTTTTCTGATTGTGTTTCAGGGTGATCACAACTCAGAAATTCATCTCATCGCAAGAGAAAGAGATGAACTTCACTGTATGCTAGAAAGATTTGAAAAACATATGGAGGAAATACAGGCCAATGTTAAATTATTGACAGCAGAGAGAGATAAACTAAGTGTCTTATATAACCAAGTAAGACGTTAATTATAACTGAGTCAAAGGTTTATAACTCCAGTTAACTATAATGAAACCAGTATATGTCCTTCAAATTATGCAAATATATGGACTTTATGATATTCCTCTTAATTAGAATTATAAATAGCCATCTGTACTGTCATCCTGCTGCCAAAGCAGAGACTTCTTTTGTTTTTTCATGTTTATTTTTCCTCTTTTCTGAATTACCTATGTGTCAGGTCAGTGAGAGATAGCCTTCTTCTAAAACTATTTGGAGCGGGTCTCTTACTCTGAGCCAGGTTTATCCTTGGGATTCAGACATGTTGGGGACATGTCCAGTAGAACAATGGGTAGAGCTCACGATTTAGATATATTGGATATCAAGAACTTAGCCTTTAGTAAAAAAAATTCTCTAGGAAAGAGGGTATTGATACAGCTTGGCCCAGTTACAAAGCCTCAGTTGTCAGAGGACAAGATGAGTTTGAGCAAAGCATGGTGTCTGTCACCTCAGTCTGTTTCCATCCTTATCTCCCATGAACTCCTACTGCTACTTTGAAAAGGGAAGGACATGCAAGTTAAAGGTCAAATTGAAAGAGATGTTTTCACATTTTGAGCTTTACTTGGGTTCTGTAGTACAAAGTGATCCACTTCTGGGCTTTCTCCACTGTCGGCTTAGATTACTTTCTTGGGTTTGCCTTAGTTAATTACTACTGTCCATCTGCTTTCTAGTTTCCAAAATTTTATGGCTGGCACTTCCCTCAACCTCCCTATCTTTTTGGTTTTATTGTTATTATTTCTTAATTCTTTTACTCTCATTTTGTTGGGATTTAGGAAGAGAACAACAATAGCGTGTGTTCAGTGGGAGCATATTCAAAGTTTTTTTTATTATTTGTTTTTTTAATTCTTAAAGGCTCAGGAAGAATTATCTGCACTAAGACAGGAATCCACCCAAACCACAGTCTCCCCAAATATTGTTAGTCTTATGGAACAAGAAAAAGAACGAGCATTATCTGACTTAAGAAGAATTATGGTAGAAAAGGAAGCTTTAAGAGAAAAGTTAAATGTAAGTATTTTTAATATTCATAAGGAGCCCTGGTGGCACAGCGATTAAAGCACTTGGCTGCTAACTGAAAGGTCAGTGGTTTAAACCCACCAACCATTCCACGGGTTTGAAATTAGGAATAAAAACACTTATGCGTTATAAGGGTAGTCTTATGACTACCGTTATAATTTATTCCAACTTGTTAAAGAAAAGGGAGATCCTTATATACATTTTCCCATGAAGTTGCTATTTAGAATATGCAACTGTATCAGTGTTGGCAAACTATGGCACATGGGCCAAATTAGCCTGCTGCCTGTTTTTGTATTGCCATGAACTAGGGATGTTTTTTACATTTTTAAATGATTGAAAAACATACTAAATGAATAATACTTCATGACGCGTGGTATTAAATACATATTTCGTTTTCCATAAATAAAGTGTTATTGGAACACCACACTCATTGGTTTACCTATTGTCTATGCCTTATTTTGTGCTATAGTGGCAGAGTTGAGTAGTTGCAACAGAGATTGTATGGCTCACAAAGCCTAAAATATTTATTATCTGGCTCTTTACAGAAAAAATTTGCCAACCCCTGAACTCACTCAGTAGGAAGTTCCTTATGTGTAGGGACTTTATGTAAAGCTTTATTGAGATATAATTTACATACCATAAAATTCATCCTTTTAAAGTATACAATTCAGTGGTTTCTAGTGTATTCACAGAGTTTTGCAACCATCACCACTACCTGATTCCAGAACATCTCCACCTCAGAAAGAAACCCCGTATCAGTTAGCATTTCCCCCAAGCCTCTCAGCCCTAAGCAACCACTTATCTACTTTCTGTCTCTATAGATTTACCTGTTCTGGATATTTTACATAAGTGTATTCATACAATATGTAAGCTTTTGTATCTGCTTCTCTCACTTAGTATAATGTTTTCAAGGTTCATCCATGTTCCATTTTATTGCCGAATAATATTCTAATGAATGGATATAACAATATTTTATTTAGCCATTCATCAGTTGATGGATATTTAGGTTATTCCACTGTTTGGCTATTATGAGTAATGCTGTTATGAACATTTGTGTACAAGTTTTTGTGTGGATGTATGTTTTCATTTCTCATGGTTACATACCCAGGAATAGAATTAGTGATTCATATGGTAACTCTGTGTATAACCTTTTGAAGTATGCCAGACTGTTTTCCAAAGCAGCGGCATTTTACGTTCCCATCAGCAACGTATTAGGGTTCCTGTTTCTCCACATCCTCACCAACGCTTATCTTCTTTATTCTAGTCATCTAGTGGCCTCGCTACGAGTCCCTTATCAGATACATGATTTTCAAGTATTTTCCCGCATTCTGTGTGTTATCTTTTCACTTTATTGATGTGTCCTCTGAAGCACAGAGGTTTTTAGTTTTGATGGTGTCAAATCTAGGGGCAATATTTTGTAATTTCTTTTGTAATTTCCAAAAAAATAATTATGTTTAATGCATGTAAAGCACTTAACTGTGCTTAGCACATTATAAATTCCCAGTGAATATTAACTGTTATTATTATGGCATTTACAGCTTACGTTCAATAAATATTATTGAATTAATGCTTTGAAATTAGTAGCTAAAATTAGGAATAAAGACACTTAAGCATTATGAGGGTAGTCTTTATGACAAATTTCAGTTAAAATTTTAGGCTAACAGTCCAGTTTAAGAATGCTTTTAATTGAGATCTTTTGTAATGGTGTTCAGTATAGCAGCTTTTAGTATAAGCTACTGACTCAGCCTTTTCCATATCTGTTGAAATGACCAAGGAATGTAAAAATAGGGTAGAAAAATGAAATGGTACTGAGAACTAGGAAAAAGTAACATTCATATTACCAGATGCCTTCTGGGTTGTAGGAGGCAGGATTTATCCGTTTGGAATAGATCTTTTACTTAAACACTAAACTAAACATCTTCATCCGTAAGCCTACTCCAGTGTTGACTATTATTCCACTATCACCTGTTTGCCAAATCCAGGTGTCATCACTGACTCGTGCTCCCTGAAGCCTCATATCCCTCAGTTAATCACCAAGTCTTATTGATGCTATCTCTTAAATAATACTTAATATTTATTAAACCTTTCCCATTTGGGAGGCTGTTTCAAGTGATTTTTACGTGGGCTATCATTAAATCTTCACAATACCCTTTTCAGATAGATACTGTCTACCAGTGCGGTCTCTGAGTTTCAGTGAAGTTAACTAGGTCACCCAGCTGTGAAGTTGCAAGGAGTCTGGCTCCTGAGCTCACATGCACCACTCTTCTTGAATCTGTTTGCTTTTCTCCATTCCCTTGCCACCATCCTGTTCAGGCCATTATTGTCTCTCACCTGCGTTACTGTATTAGTGGCTTCTGTACTTCTAGTCTTATCCCTCTCAAATGTATTTTTCATACTAAAGTCAGTAATCTTTCAAAAATATAATTCTGATCATGTCACTTCCTACTTAAAATCTATTACTTGTTTTAAAAGACCTCAATGATTGGCCTTCTTTGAAAGGATGATTGTCTGCTTTGAAAGGAACAAAGATGAGGGTAGAAAGACACAGGAAACAGAATATTACAGGGCCATGCAAGAGATTGGAGTTCCAAGAATGGGCTGGTCAACGGTATAAACACAAGGGCTTTTGTTCTGGTTATATAACCTTATCCAAATTCTTGCTGCTGCTAATCTAGAGTTAGCAATACAATGTAGTGCCTCTTTTCCCCAAACTCATCTCCCCCCTGCCACACCGTCACTCACCCCAAGGCTCTAGGCTTAGTGGATGTTTTCTTCCCTCCAACCTTCTACACAGACTATTGACTACCTGAAAAATTCCTTCCCTCCCTCCAGTCCACTTGTCTGACTAATTCCTGTTTTTCTTTTAGATACAGGTTAAACATTATTTCTTCAGACAGGAAATGAACACTAGACTCTAGAGTTCCTTTCTATATATTGACACAAAGTTCCTTTTTCTTACAGAATATCCATAGGATTTATTGTAATTTCTTGTTTAAGATTTGTCTTTTCTACTAGGCTTTGTTATTGTTAGGTACCGCCAGTTTTTGACTCATAGTGACCCTATGTGACAGAGTAGAACTGTGCCATAGGATTTTCTAGGCTGTAATCTTTATGGGAGCAGATTCACCAGGTCTTTGTCCCACAGAGCCTCTGGGTAGGTTCAAAGTGCCAACCTTTTGGATGGCAACTGAACAGGCGAGCGCTTAACCATTGTACCATCAGGGCTCCTACTAGGCTATAGTATCCATGAAGTCAGGGACTTGTATTCATTTTACTCATTACTGTATCACTAACACCTTGCTTGGCACTTGGTATATAGTATAAAAATTTATTTTGGTCGAATGATTGAATAAATGAATAAATACTTATAACAAGTGATCCTTTCAACCAAGTGTGTAATGTAAACATCAGATGTCTTTAAAAAGTCATCTCTATTATATGGATTTTGGGGGGAAATATTTATTTTCACTGAATAACATGGATGGAAGTATGAATCCACACTGGAAGACCTCTCAGTGGTCACCACGTTGTATTGCTAATCCTAGATTTAGCAACAGCAAAAGTTTGGATTAAGGTAATGTGATCAGAAAAATAATCCTTGTGTTTACACTGTTAGCCTATTCTTGGAACTCTGGTCTCTTGCATGGCCGTAGCATTCTGTTTCCTGTGTCTTTCTAACATCATCTTTCCTCCTCTGCACCCTGTCCCTCTTACATTTCCTGTCATGAGGGCATACTCCGGAGCTTCATACATAACCTGCTGTTTTTTGCCTTTATAGTTGTGCTAATGGACTGATCTAAATAAATTTTTATGAATGACCGCATAGCAGTCTGTGTTTTCTGCTACAATCACACATGGAGTTAGAGTGTATAAATGATAAGAGCCTATTGTGCTGTTTTTTAACCAAAATTTTTTTTTGTAAATAATGGTTTTCTTTCTAAAATATTTCTATGTGATTATAAAAAGATAAATAGAATAAAATAGTGCTAAAATTTGCATCCTTTATTTTGATAATTTTGTTTTATTATCTGATATAAATGAACATTTTCTATAAAAATCTCTTTCAGACCCTCCAGGAGAAGAATCTTTTGGGCAAATCAGAATTAGAACAAACTATTGAACATTTGACATGTGTTAATCATCAGGTAATTAATCAAACTGGATTTGGAGTATATTTTGTTGTTTGAATGACTTTCAATTATAGTTTTAATATACTGCATGTGTTTTTACAAATAATATGCTTAGGGAAGGTGTATAACAGTCTTTAGGAGTGTGTGCTGTGTAGACTGACTACTTGGGTTCAAATCCCATCTCTGCCACCTGTTACCTATAGGGAAATTACTTAAACTTTCTTTCCCTCAGTTTATTTATAAAATAGGGATAATTCTAGTAGGGCTACTGTGAAGATTAAATTAATTAATACATATAAAGGACTTAGAAGAGTGCCTGGCGTGTTGTAAGCACTCAGTAGACGTTAGCTATTATTATTGTTCTTGCTGTTGTTAAAAAAAAAAGACATAGAGTAAAAAAGTGAAAGTCCACTTTCATTCCTCATTGCTTTTCCTAGAGATGGCATTTTAAACAATTTGGTATGTGTTCTGCCAGTACTTTTTAATGCATTTATTTAACATACACATTCACATTCTACACATATAGAAACAGAAATTGGGTCATGCCATAGGTATCACTTTTTTTCCACAGTATATTGTGGACTTCATTTCATCTCAGTACATAAAGCTCTGTCTTAGTCTTTTTAAAGGCTGCATATTTGCTGTGTCTCAGTTTGGGTGCCCCTGAAAGCAGAGCCTGAGCAGGATGTGGGTGCAAGTAGCTTGTTTGGCAGGTGATCCCACAAATCAGAAGTGAAGGAGCTGGGTGAGACAGGAAAGAAGCAGCCAAAAAAGGATATTTTATTGACCTGATTGCTGCTGTGGGCCACTGAGTCTCCATTCCTCTGGGAACCCTCTGAAGAAATGTGTAATGTGTACCTCAGAATAAAGGGTGGGTGGCTAGGGCATTTATCCACCTACTCCTGTTTCTCATGATGAAGGATTATTATAGAAGTGTTAACTCCCCCTAATTCCTGGCTGACTGACTTTGGACTCAGTGTGAGAGCTTCTTCTTTGGAAAAAGCCCTGAGGCAGAAAAGCAGACAGAATCAACAGTTCGTTGAGGTGGGATTTGGTCAGCATGCATGGGGCAAAGGAGATGTGACTTTGTACATACATATCATCTGCTATGGGTTGTTTTAAGTTTTTTTTGCTATTGTGAACAACATTGCAATGAAAAGCCGCGTGTGTGTGTGTGTGTGATCCTTACTGACATGTATGATGCTTAACTGGGATTTTGGTCAAGTAAAGAAGAAAAAGTTGTTGAAATAATCGTGGCAAAATTTGATAATTGTTGAATCTGGGCATGTCTAAACGAAGGTTTATTGACCAATTCTCAGTGTTTTAGAAAAATTTAAAGTATCAATGTTTTGAAAGTCACTAGTTGACTTTAACGATACATTTGACAGAAGGAAAAATTATTTTTGCTTTTATTTTTGAAAGATACTTTTTCTGGGTATAGAATTCTGGGTTAACATTTTTTCCCTTTCAAAATGTTAAAGATTTTGCTCCACTGTCTTCTGCCTTGCATTATTTCCAGCAAGAAGTCTGCTGCCATTTTTCTCTTTGTTCCTCTTATGTATTTTTTTTCTCTTAACTGCTTTTAACTGTTTTTCTTTTTACTGCTTGTAATGTGCCTGGGTGTTGTTTTCTTTCTATTTCTTATACTTGGAATTCATTGAGCATCTTGGATCTGTAGGTTTATAATTTTCATCAAATTTAGAACCATTTCAGCCACTATATCTTCAAATATTTTTACTGTTTTCTTTCTCCCCACCGTTTAGGACTCAAATTACACGTCAGGCTTCTTGAAGTAGTCCCACAGCTCGTTAATGTTCTATTGAGTGTTTTTGTTTTCCAGTCTTCTCTCATTCTGTTCCATTTTTGCTAGTTTCTGTTACTGGGACTTCAAGTTTACTAATATTTTCTTCTGTAATGCCTAATCTACTGTTAATTCCATCCAGTAAATTTTTTATTTTAAACATCGTAGATTTAATCTCTAGAAGTTGGATTTCAGTCTTCTTTTTTTTTTTTTAATCCTTGATGTCTCTACATCATCAGTATTTCACGGGTTTTTTGAACATAGGGAATACAGTTATAATAACTTATCTGTCTGCTCATTCTGTCATCTGTGTCATTTCTTAATTGATTGATATTTCTCCTTATTATGGGCCATATTATTTTTGCTTCTTTGCATGCCTAGTAATTTTAGATTGGATACTAGACATTATGATTTTTACCTTCTTACCTACTGGATATTTTGTATTCTTTTTTATTGGAGCTTTGTTCTGGGATGCAGTTAAGTCATATGGAAGTAGTTTGATGCTTTCCAGTTTTGCTTTTAAGCTTTGTTAGGTGGGACCAGAGTAGCACTTAGTCATCTTATCCTGCCACTGAGACAGAATCCTTTTGAGTACGCTACATTTTGCTCCATGAATTATGAGGACTTCCACTGGCTGATGGGAGTAGGAACTGTCTATAGCCTTCAGTAGTTTCTTTGCAGAGCTCTACCCAGCCAAAGATTAACAGGGTACCCTCTTCTGATCTCTTAAGCTATAATTAAAAATCTTCCCACAAAGAAGATACTAGGCCCAGATTTGCAGTAGATTCTACCAACACTGAAAGGGCGTATTCCACTCTTACAGCAAACTGTTCCAGATTTTTAAAAAAAAAAAAAAAATGGAGGGAGGGAATACTTTTCAGCTTACTTTATGAGGGCAATATAATTTTAATAAAGCAGTAGACAAAGGTAACAGGAGAGAGTGCAGGCCAATTAACTTCATGGTATATAAATGATGCCAAACAACATATAGCAAACCAAACTAAATTCAGCAATACGTAAAGAAGATAAAACACTGCAATCAAGTTATCCAAGAATACAAGTTTGATTTCACCTCAGAAATATACCACATTTGCGTTTAAAATGAGAAGCATATTAAAAAAAAAAACAAAAATAAAAACCATTGCCATCAAGTCAATTCCAACTCATAGCGACTCTATAGGACAGAGTAGAACTGCCCCATAGGGTTTCCAAGGTGTAGCTGGTGGATTCGAACCACCAACCTTTTGGTTAGCAGCCTGAGCTCTTAACCACTGAACCACCAGGGCTCTGAAAAGCGTATGCTCCCCTCAGTAAATGGAGAAAAAGCATTCTTATATCAACATTCAGTCATGACTTAAAAAATAGGTTGTTGTTAGGTGCCATCGAGTTGATTCTGACTCATAGCGACCCCATGTGACAGAGTGGAAGTGTCCCATGGGTTTTTCTTAGCTGTAATCTTTACAGAAGCAGATCTCTAGGTCTTTCTCCCACAGCCCACTGGGTGGCTTCAAACCACCAACCTTTTTGTTAGTGGCTGAGCACTTAGCACTTAACCATTACACCATCAGGGCACCTTTTAAAAAAGATACTCTTAGCAAATTAGGAAATGTAAGGAACTTCTTAACCTGATAAACCCTGGAACAAACATTGTACTTAAAGATAAAGCGTTGAAAGCATTCCCTTTAAAATTAGGAGCAAGACAAAGGTACCAGTTATCAGCACTTTTATTCAGTATTGCATAGAAGATCATAGCCAATGTAGTGAGAGGGGAGAAATTGTATGGATTAGAAAGGAAGAAACTACGTAACACACAGTATTTTTATCCAATGGAAAATTTAAAAGTCAACAAATTATTAGAATTAACTAGAGTATTTACCAGGGCTGCTTGATGTAAAATTAGCATACAGCAGCCAATTTTATTTCTATATGCTAGTGCTGTGCTGTGCGATAAAAATATGTGAGCCACATACAAAATTTTAAATTTTTTAGTAGCTACATTTAAAAAGTAAAAAGAAACAAGATTTAAACCCAAAGTACTATTGTTTCAACATCTAATCAATATAAAAAATTAAGATTATTTTATATTCTTTTTTTTTACACTAAGTCTTTGGTGTGTATTTTATACTGCGGCACATCTCAGTTTGTACTCGCCACAGCTCAGATGTTTAGTAGCCACACGTGACTATGGTTAAAGTATGGGACAGGATGGCTATGTACAGTCAACAAACATTTTGAAAGGATACCATTTTTTTAAAAAGATAATATTTTAATAGTGATAGATAATACAGACACCTATGAATAATTTTCAGGACCTTTAGAAAAAACATTTTATAACCTTATTGAAAAACATTAAAGAAGACCTACATAAATGGAGAGGTATATTATAAAAAAAGGAAAGAGACAACATATTTATAAAAAGAATGTAAATTCTCCCTAAATTGGTGTACAGAGTTGATGCAGTTCCAGCTGAAATCCCAAGAAGGTGGTATGGGTATGTGCACTCATGTGCATGTGTGTATGTGCATGTATATGAACTTGACAGTAGGTTCTAAAATTTATATAGAAGTAACCAGGAATCAAAAAGAAGTTTTAAAAAAGAAAATGGTAAGGGACTTGCTCTACCAGACATGAAAACTTTAGAGTTAGAGTGATTAAGACAGTGTGGTATTGCATAGCGATTAAGAGAGATTGATTGAACTCAACAGACAGCTTAGCAACACAAATGTATGGAAACTTGACATATAAAACTACTCAGATCAATGTGGCAAGGAAGGATTCAGTAATTGTTTCTGGAACAACTGGCTGTCCATGTGAAAGAAAATGAAATTGGATTCTACTTCACATATACCATACTCAAAAACCAAGGTTATTTGAAGCCTTGAATGTCCAAGATAAAACTTTAAATTTTAAAAACAAAGTACAGGATAAAATCTTTTGACCTTGGAGAGATAGTAATAGTAGCAATCATTTATGTAGCATTTCTGATGTGTCCGGTACTTTTCTCAACATTTATATACATATTATTTTAATTCTCACAACAACCATATGAAGTAAATACTGTTATTATCCTCATTTTATAGATAAGGAAACTGAGGAAGAGAGGGGGAAACTTGCCCAATATTACACAGCTAGTAGGTGTTCCAGATTCTGTGCTCTTAATCACTGCTCGAGACCCAAAAATGTTTTTCCTAAAGGAAAACATAGGTAAATAAGACAACATTGACAAGAATATCTTTGTTTATCAAACAGCCATAAAGAAATTGAAAAGACAAGCTATTAATTGTGAGAATAACTTGATACACATTTAACCCGAATTAAAATCAACAGAAGACATAGATACTTCATGGAGGAAGAAATTACAAATGGCTAATAAACATAAAAAAAAATTCTACCTCAGTGATAAGGAAATCCAAATTAAAACCACACAGTAAAATGCCATTTTACATCCATCAGATCATCAGAAGTTAACAGGTTAGAAAAAGTATTAGTAAGAATGTGTAGTTCCTGGGAGTGTAAATTGGTACTTCTTTGGAGAATAATTTGGCATTATCTAGCAAAGGCATATCCTATTAGCCAACAATTCCATTTCTAGTTATATATCCTAGCAAGGGTTAGCAGACTGTGGCCTCTGGGCCAAATCCAGCCTTCATCCTATTTTTTTACATAAAAAATGTATTGGAACACAACCATACTCTTGTTTAGATCCTGCCTATGGTTGCTTTTGTCTTACAACACAGTAGTAGTAACAGACCACAGACCCACAAAGCCTAAAATATTTACTCTCTGGCCCTTCACAGAAAAAGATTGCCAACCCCTACCCTAAACAAACATGTGGCCATGCATACCTAGTGACATGCGCAAGAACAGTTATAGCAACAGTTTGTAATAGCAAAAAAAAAAAGAAAGTCTAGATGTCATTTGTGAGGAAAATGGATAAATGGTGGTAATTCGTACAATGGAGTATTATACAGCAGCAAAAAATGAATGAAAGAAAGCTACAAACATCACATGTACCAAAAAACCAAAAACCAAACCTATTACTATCAAGTCGATTCCAACTCATAGCGACCCTATAGGACAGAGTAGAACTACCCCATAGGGTTTCCAGGGAGCAGCTGGTGGGTTCAGAGTGCCTACCTTTTGGTTAGCAGCCCAGCTCTTAACCACTGTTGTACCGGAAAAGCAAGTCACGGAAAAAAACATGCAGTATGGCTGCATTTACGTAAAGTTCAAAAACATACAAAATTAAACAGTAGGTTGTTTAGAGATTCATACAAATGTGGTATGCTAAAGAAAAGCAAGGAATGAGAAATGCAAGATTCAAGGTAGTGGGTACTGTGGGCAGAGATTGGGGAAAAGGAATGAAGTGTGCTCACAACTAGTTTTAAAGATTTAGGTATATTTTTGTAGGGTAGATGATGGATATATACGTATTCATTTTTACATTTTTTATCCTATACATGTACTCTTATCTGTACAAGATATACCTAAGGGAATTCTGACAGATTTTTAATGCAAAAAAGTTCCTTTCCCACCTTCCTTGTCCTCAAAACTGCCATCCTCAACTCTCAAGCTCTTTCTTCTGGTGCTTACCTTCCTGTTTCTAAACAATGTGTATATACTGCTTAGTCTTACTTTACTGATTCAGATAAGCATTATTTTGTGACTTTCCTTGACAGGAGATGATGATAGCTTAGCATTCCACCTTCTTTCCTTCCCCATTACCTCAACACAATTTTATTCATATTTTGCTTACTTCAGTAGTTTATGTTATCTTGACCTCTAGCTTTTCACTGCTCAGCCAAGTGTTACAGCAGTCCCTTGCCTTTTTTTCTTGTAGAGTTTCTTTTTCCTGGAGTTAATAATTGCTTTTTTTTTTTTTAACCTTTTTTCCATTAAACTTATGCTAAGTTTTGCCAAATGCTTCAACATCTCTGCTGCATGCTATCAGTAGTATTTTTTTGAATACTCAAACATACCAGTTTTGTTTTTTTCCTTGAAGACTCCCTTCCTGAGCTTTCAATCTTCCTACTCTGTTGTGGACTTAATGTCTCTCAGTAGCTGATGTCCTAAGAGTTTCCCTTTCCCCTTCTCCTGTGTTGAATCCCATGCTTTTCTCTTTCTTGGTTTGTTCCTTCATTCTGGGAGAATTTTTTTTAGCACTCCACATGTCTGGAAGTATCTTTATTCAAGTTTCATACTGGTTTAGGATTTGCCTGGGTATATAGAAATCTAGATTGGAAAATTATTTTCACCAAAAATTTTGAATACTGTCCTCCATTGTCTTATAACTTTCTTTGAGATGTGTTATACCATTCTATTTCGTATACCTTTGTTATTTCTTTGTTAGTTTGTTCCCCTATATTCCTATTTTCTCTTTCTAGAACTTTTACTAGTTGGTTTTAGGCCTCCTGAAGAGATCATCTAAAGTCCTTATCCTTTATCCCTTACTTTCTATCTCTTTGTCATTTTCTCTTTTTGAGAGATTTCTTCTCTTAATCCTTTTTTTTTTGTTATATTTCTAAGAGTATTTTCCAGAAAGAGATAGGAAATACCTGAGCTCTAAGGGTCCCAACATACAAACTTTCAGCCAGTCTCCCTATTTGACTCTGCTCTGACCCCTACCCTCTACTTTGTACCTCCAAATGTTGAGCCTCTTCTGGGTAAGTAAGTTGGCTGCTTATGGGTATTCCATACAGTAGTCAATTTAGATTAGTGGTTCTCAACTGGAGTCAGTTCTGTGCAGTGGTTAAGCACTCGGCTGCTAACCAAAAGGTTAGCACCAGCCACTCTACAGGAGAAAGATGTGGCAGTCTGCTTCTGTAAAGATTATAGTCTTGGAAACTCTATGGGGCACTTCTGCCATGTCCTATAGGGTCGCTAATGATCGGAATTGACTCGATAGCAATGGGTTTGGATTTTTTTAGGGGACATTTGGCGCTATCTGGAGACAGTTTTGGTTGTCAGTCTAAGGCGCAAGTAAAAGAATTATCTGACCCGAAATGTCATTAGTTCCTCAGTTGAGAGACTGCTGTAGATTGTAATTTTTTCCACTCTGAGTCACTGTTCTGCCTGTTCTTTGTCTTCCACAAGTTAGTGAAGTCACTTGACTACTCTTGTTTTACTTGTTCTCTGTCCTTTATTCCTTTACTGCCATTTTAGTGGTGTTTTCAGAGGGAGAGGAGATAAAATATATCAGTACACAGTGTTTTGACTAAAAGCCTTATTATTTATTATTAGTATTTCTTGGTTTTGAGTTTTACTTATAGGTTATTATTCTGTCTAGAATTCATTTTTGTATATGAAATAAAGTAGAAATTTAGCTACTTTTTTGTCCTTCAATAAGTGACATTTGTCCTTACTCTATTTTTTAAGGGCTTATCCTTTTCCCACATCCCTATAATGCTACCTTTTCTAAGTTAACATCTGTACAGAGTGTTTTTATACTCCACTCAGTTTTGTGTATTTGTCCATTTCTATGTGAAATCTATACTGTTTTAATTACAGTAGCTTTCTAGTTTGTTTTTATATCTTATGAGGCAAGTTTATTTGCATTCTTTTCTCCCCAAATATTTCCTCTTTTCCTTTTTCCTGAATGAAGTTTAGAATCAGTTTATGAAAGTGAAGCCACTCCTTTTTAAAAAGAAGAAAAAAAATTCTTAGGATTTTTATTGGAATCGTATTGAATTTACAATTATTTGGTGGAAGATTTGGCATATTTACAATCTTGTGTTCCCACAGTGGTGTGTCTTCACATTAAGTCAGATTATCTCTTATGCTCTTCAGGAAAACTTTAGTTTCTTTGTATAGGTCTTACCAATTTTATGTTTGGGTTGCAGTCTTTTCTGCTCTGTTCTTTTCATCAATTCAATCCTATCTACTTATTTTTTCAAAATTTTTGTTCTGCTAATGGCTTCCTTACCTATTTTCATTGCTTCTACGAATATATTTTTTCTTCTTCTTTTTTAAAAATATTTTATAGTGTTTTAGGTGAAAGTTTATACATCAAATTAGGTTCCCATTGAACAATTTTTATAATTGTTCCATGACATTGGTGACAGTTTTCACAATGTGTCAGCATTCTCATTATTTCCATTCTGCTTGTTCTGTTTACATTGATTAGCTTCCCTTCCCCTCCTTACCTTTTGGGTAAATGTTGACCATTTGGTCTCATATAGTTGAGTGTTTAAAGGACACAGTACTAACGCATGATATTGTTTATTTTATAAGCCAATCTGTTTTTTGACTAAAAGGTGATCTACACGAGTGGCTTCGGTGGCAAATTCAAAGGGTATCTTAGGGCAATAGTATCGGGTGTTCCTCTAGTCTCTGTTATCGGTCCAGTAGGTCTGACCTTTTTTAAGAATTTGAGTTTCGTTCTACATTTTTCTCCCATTCTATCCAGGACCTTCTGTTGTGTCCCTGATCAGAACGGTGAATAATGGTAGCCAGGCACCATCTAGTTCTGGTCTCAGGTTAGAAGAGGCTGTATATATTCTTCTGTATTTTTCCTTTTATTTAAATCATATTGAAGGGGGAGATATAAATGTGTATGCCCATTCTGACACCTTGACCCTAAAGTGTATCACAGCTTTTAAAATATTTTTTAAAAATGTCTAATTTATTTAGTTTTTTCCAGAAAATATGTTTTAAAGAGTTTCTAAAGAAAAAAGATATATACCTATTATTTTTTTTTAATTTAAATTATAGCTTGAAAATGAAAAATGTGAATTAAAGTCTAAAGTGTTAATAATGAGCGAAACAGTAGAATCATTAGAGAACAAATTAAAACTCCAAGCTCAGAAACTTACCCATGTTGCTGGTGACTCATCTCATCAGAAAACAGAGATGAACTCACTTAGGTAAGTTTATTGAAAGTTTTGTTATTTCACTTCTGGGAATGTGTTGGTTGTTATGTAAGGTTCATAAGCCAATCATTTTGGATTGGGTCTTTTGAGTAGCGCTTCCTAAAGTTGGCCTTGTAGCAGAATCACCTGGGGAGCTTTTGAAAAGTATGGATTTAGGGGCTGATCTCTGGAGGTTCTGATTCATTAAGTGAACCTGAGTAGGTTTTAAGTATCTATATTTTTTTAAGCATTCATAGATTAATGTGATTGCAGACAAGTTTTTATAGCTACCTCCTTTAAAAATCTCCCTTAACAAAACATTTAGATCTTTCGTACTTCATGGTGTAGGTTTGCTGAAAATCACAGAATTTTTTGCTACCTATGTCATTTTCCTTCTCTTACATCGTTCATTGAATTGTAAAATCAGCATATCCATCTCCTTTTTTTTTTTTTTACTTTTCTAACTTAACAGACATTCCCTATCCCTTTACCTTTGTCTCTATGTGAACTCCAGAGATATTTTTATACTATTCTCTGCTGCTTCCCTTTTATCTTGGTTTCTTCCTTTTCCTTTGTTGTTTAAAAGGGTATTTCTGTTTAGTATTTTAGTGTAGATGCTTTTGCTTTCTTATATTCCCAGATGACTCTTTAAATAATTTGAAGAACAGAAGACTGTTGGAGTGATGGTTTTGTCTTAGGGAGGGCATACAGAACAACTTAACTATGAAGAAACCTTTTGATTGGATGCTACAAGTGGATGTACTCTTTTTCTTCTCGTGTTGGTCAGACAGAATTTACTTTTGTTTTAGATACAAGATAACCAAGAATTATTGTTTATTAATTAATTAATCAACAAATATTTATGGAGTCATTACATTACTCTGTCAGAAGGCTGTATGCTCCTTGTGACACTAGAATTATAAAGATGAATAAGATATACTCTTTTCCTTCAAGGAAGTCATGTTCAATTGTGATGTGTAAACTGTTACATCATAATGTACTGTGGTAAATGCTCTTTCATAGAAATGGAGACAGCCACAAGACAGAGGAACTAACAGCCTGGTAGTTAGGGAGGTATCACCGTGGAGGTAATGTTTAAGCTGGATTTCCAATGATGTTCAGGAAATCCTCAAATGAAGAAGGTTGGTAACTCCATTTTAGGGAGAGAGCCATATACAGGCTTCTAAAGGGTCTGATGTGTCTGAAGAATGGTAAGGTCAGTATGAGAAAATAGGCTATATCCACAGGTTTGAGTCAAATTATGAAAAACTTTATATGATAAGCAAGAATATCTGAATTTTACCTTAGAAACATAGAGAGCAAACAGAAAATTTTTAACCTTTTAGAATGCTAACTCTGGTGGAAATGTGGAAAATGGGTTTGGAGTCTTAATGAGACTAATGGCAAACAGTGGAGACTGGGGATCAGGACTAAAACAGTGGCAATGAACTTGGAGAACAGAGGCCAGATTTAGGAGACATGTTTTACATCAAATTAAAAGGATTGGATGGCTAATTATATGGGGATGAGAGAGAGATACAGTAATGCATAACTTTTACCGTAGGAGATTGGATCTTTGGTTAGCCATTAATTAGCTTAGAATACAGAAGATTGAAGGAAACAAAAAGCCAATGAAGTTAGGTTTTTCTCTGGACTGGGTAGCTGCAATTAGTAAAAAGATACTGAAGGTCAGAAGAAAGGGATTACTCTGAAGAATCAGAGAAACTGTCCCTAACTACACACTTTATAAGAATCAGTCAGTAAGACTGCATCTGTGAAACTAAATCAGTCACAAAGCTGTAACAATTTGAGATCAGAAAGAATTGTAATGATGATTTTAAAATGATTGACAAATTAAAAACTGATTTAGTGAACAGTAGATGAGCTATTGCAGGAAGCTGAATTAGTGAAGAGAAAACAACAAATTCACCCAAAACTGAGAATTAAAAAGAAGCAATAATGAGGAAAAAAAGACACAGATCTAATATACTGAACTAAGAATCTCACAAATAAGTAGTAAATTAAACAGAGCAGAAGTGAGACTCACAGGAATAATTAGGAAAGAAAAGGCGGGAGACCATAATTCGCAGGGCTCCCTGATTCTCAAAGAAACGTGATGAAATAAGAACAACAGTTGGGTATGTCTGGTGACGTTTTCTTGTGTGGTGAAAATATACATGACAAAACATTTTCTATTTCAGTATTTTTTGCATGCAGAATTCAGTAACATTAATTATATCGATCATGTCTGGTGATATTCCATCTCAAGGATTTGAAAATTTTATCACTATCTAGATTAGAAGGGGAACCAAAACAGTTATCTATAAAGGAAGAGAAGACAACCAGGTGTATGTCAGTAGTCTCCAGTGCAGTACTAAATGCTAAAAGACAGTGCAGTCATTTCTGCCCAGTTCTGAAGGGAAAAAAGACTGTAACCCAAGAATTCTGCACAGTATGATGAATCTGTGAAGCATCTCACAACATGGATGAATCTGGAGGGCATTATGC